GAAGCCAAGTTGAGCGACTTTGGCATCTCGCGCGAGCGCACACAAGACGAGACGATGACGGCGGGCGTCGGCACGATCTTTTGGACAGCACCCGAGGTACTGCTCGGTGAACACTACTCGGAGATGGCCGACATTTACTCGTTTGGCGTCGTGCTCTGCGAGATGGACACGCATGGACCACCGCTAGCCGAGTGCAAGGGTCTTCCGCAAGCCACGATGATCCATCGAGTCACGAACGAAGGACTCCGCCCGTCACTGACACCGACGTGTCCCCACAACGTGCGATCGCTCGCCGCGCGGTGCATGGCCCGGGACCCCAAGACCCGGCCCAACGCGTACGAGTTGATTGCGATCTTGCAGCACTGGAGCGAGTCGAGCCTGTCCTTGCCACAACCGCACTCGGGCGAGATCGTCCTGTAGATGTAGGAACGGATGTATATCGACTCTGTAGTAAGTAGAGAGGTAGAGAGGTGCCGATGACGCGGTCACGTCACACAACCTATATCATTTGTCAGTGCACTTTCCACTGTATATTGTTCTGCGTCATGCCTCGTTTTGCATTCGGATATTAACCGAACGACGCTGGCAACGACGAATTGGCACTTCATCGCGCAACCGCATGAGCCAACGGTGCTCGACAAGTCGGCGGTCACTGACTGGGCTTGAGTACACCCCACTTGTGGTCGAACGATGCTGCCAGACACAAGACGCAGCTGATCAAGTGGAGACAGAGAGGGGAGAATACGAGGCTCAGAACGCACCTGCAGCGGCTGTTGGACGCCCGGTCCTTGTACACTTGCCACATTGACGGCTTGCACAGCTCTATTAGCTCAAATTGTTTTAGCGCGTGTTGTGTCTGGGCTGTGATGAAGCCTAGATTTACTGTGCTAGAGTTAGTGCAGAATCTGCCTTGGGCGTATCACTACGACTCCGTGCTTCCTGCGAGATGGCTCTCCCTCGCTACGGTGTTTGCGTTGCCCCGACAGCCACCATACGAGGCAGCCTTCCCCATCTTCCTCACAGTACTTTGATGTCCACAACTCTCGGGCGCACAAACAAGCTGCATCACAAACGAGTAGAATATATTGCATCTTGGACATCACTTCGCCAGACGTTGACGGACTACTCGCTCCAGCGCTGCACGATCGCGACCACCTCGTGCGCCGACGGCCGGTCTTTTGGGTCTCGGGCCATGCACCGCGCGGCGAGCGACTGCACGTGCTCCGGACACGTCGGCAGCAAGGACGGGCGAAGCCCTTCGTTCGTGATGCGGTGGATCATCGTGGCTTGCGGAAGACCCTTGTACTCGGCCAACGGCGACGCGTGCGTGTCCATCTCGCAGAGCACGACGCCAAACGAGTAAATGTCGGCCATCTCTGAGTAGTGTTCGCCGAGCAGCACCTCGGGCGCCGTCCAAAAGATCGTGCCGACGCCCGCCGTCATCGTCTCGTCTTGTGTGCGCTTGCGTGAGATGCCAAAGTCGCTCAACTCGGCCTCGCCATCGTCACCAATGAGTACGTTCTTGCTCTTGAGGTCGCGATGGATGATCTTGGGCGAGAGACTGTGCAGATACGCGAGAGCGTGGGCGATGCCGAGCGCGATCTTGATCTTCTCGTCGCGCTGCCATTGCAGCTGCTGGTGCGAGTGCAAATAGCCGTAGAGGTCGCCATTCGCCATGTACTCGGTGACGGCGCAGAGGTTCTGGAGCGAGTTCCAGGCAAACCCGATTAGACGGACAATGTTGGGGTGCGTGAAGGATGCCATGAGGCGGATCTCGTCGGCAAAGCCTTCAATCTCGGCCTCAGACGTCCGCTTGGAGTCGAGAAGGCGCTTGATAGCGACGACTTGGCCGTTGAACGAACCGAGCCAGACCTCGCCGAACGCGCCCTTGGATAAGAGACGCGAGTAAACTACAGCCGAGTACGGGACGCGTTTCTTGATGAGTTCTTGATCGCGCTGGAATTCGTTGAGCGTGTGCGAGGCGGTTGTGATCGGCTGGTACGACCCTGTCCGGGTCTGCGTCGGCTGCGTCGAGTTGGTCATCGAGTACCGGGGAGCACGCGACTCCATTTCGATGTAGTCAGTGTGCACATCGGTCTCGCTGTGCTTGCGCCGGCGCGAGAGACACCACCAGACGCCAAGACCCAGCAGCAAGCCGCCACCGATGGCAATGCCAATGATGGCAGCGATTGGGAAGCTGCTCGCCGACGCCATTGTGGATGCGGCGGTCGGCGCGCTGGTCGACGGACGAGGCGTCGCGTTGGCCTTTTGCGTCGCAATCGTCTTGAGCCATGCGTCCATGGCTTGCGAGTTGGAGGGCACACACCACCCTGTCGGCGGCACGCTGCCGTCAAACACCTGGCACGGAAACGTCGCGCCGGCGGGCGTCGTCTTGTCCGGACATGTGCCCCACTGCGGCTCGCTCACCAGCTCTTGCGTGTGGATGGCGAAGATGAGCCAAAACTCCTTGTCGTTCCACGCGTGGCGCTGCAGGTTCGGGTACGGCGCTGCGCCGAGGCCCTGGCCGTCTTGCGCCCACATGCTGCTGTGGCTGTCCTTGATGTTGCCCATCGTGATATTGGCCGTTGCGCACCGCGTGTACGGGCGCAGGCGGCCGCCATTCGAGTTTTCTTGCCGGAGGTAGACGCCCGAAGTCGCCGAATTGCACGGCCGCGTGGTGGCGTCGCTCTGGGAAGCCAAAAAGTCGGTCTTGGGGAGCGCGATGCTGGCCATGGACTCGCCGACCGAGCCGACGCAGCGCGTGTAGATGCGGCTGAGAGCGTTCACGTCGACGGTTGGGTTGGATGGGACAAAACCCATGTCCCAGAGAATGGCGAGTTTGGCGAGCGGCGGGAGGTCGTCCCAGGTCAAGTTGACCTTGTTGAGGCGCACGGTGATGGCTGCATCCGGCTTGGTAGGCGTCGCGCTGACGCCGATCGTGCTGGTGTTGAGGCCACTGAGCGCTTGGTACTTGGTGACCAGGTCCGCGTTCTCGAGCCATGCATTCGCCGACATGCTTTTGCCAATTGTGGTAAATTGAACACTGCAACCTCTCCAGTCTCCAGCGTCCTGGCTAGAATCCAGCGACGACCGGCTAGAATCCAGCGAATCGCCGTGGCGCATTAAGAATTGTGACGATGTGATTGGTCCGCAACGGATCTTTGAGGTCGAACCAACCGAGGTGGCCACCAATCAGACGCAACGCGCCAAGAGACGTAACTGATGGGGTGTAATACCACCAGCACATGCCAACCGGGCACTGGTTTTGACCATGGGTCTAGACTAGTGATCCGTTTCAAACGGCTCAAGGATAAAAACGTTTGTTTCATTGTTTAAAACGAGTTTAAAACGGGTTTAAAACGGGCAAATTTGTTTCATTACGTGGCACTCTAGAAATCTTCAGTGGCCCAATCCACTTCTAAAGGGAACTCCTCGACATCTGCTACACTGTACTGTCCTCGACGAACGGAAAGTTCTCCTCTGTGTCATCTTCATCATCTGGGCCTTGGTCTAGTTCTACCTCGGTGGCAGGTGCAATACGCACCGCCCCGAGACGCACAAGATGGTCGATATATTTGCTTTCTCTACTTGTGCTGTGGACGCGTGCGAGCTGCTTGCCATTAAAGGCGATGGCGACTTGACGCTGGGCATTGCAAAAGCCGATGCGGGAGCACTTTTGCGAGGCGACCCGCTTGGTCGTCTTGTGGTTGCGCTCGCCACTGACCGCACCCGTTGGCATCGCATGGACCTGGACAAGCAGCGGTGCTAAGTTGGAGAGGCACGAGTCATCCATCATGGCCCACAGTAGATGCGGCTTGGTGCGTGAGTCGACGAAGAAATGGTCCGTGGTATGACGACTGGGTCCGCCGCCTTGGGCATGATCGCGGGCCTTTGGAATCGAAAATTATTATTGGCAGTCAGTGGAATTGCTTAATTCACATACAAAAAGCAAGTACTTTACGAACCAAACAGCGAAGAATTATTTTTTCCTTTTTTATTCGAAGTCCTCATACAAAAGTCAAGTTCTCTTGAATGAAACAAACGAAAAAAGATGGCTTGTTTGAAACGCGTTTGAAACGTTTGTTTGAAACATCGAACGAAACAAACGAATCACTAGTCTAGACTCTCCTGTACGAAATGTCGTTGGCGGCTGATGCAGTAGCAGTAGAATCATTTTTATAGGCGTGGTGTGTCTGCAGACAGACTGACGGAATCAATGCAACCCCACAGACGAACGAGCGACGAGGCACGGAAGACGGAAACG